CACATTTTAATAAAATAAAAATTTTAATAAGATAAAAATCTAACTGTTCCATAAATCATTCATTTCTCGAATATTTATAAAATATGACATTTCAATTTTTAAATTTTTAAGAAGAATATCATTATTTCAATCAAATATTTCTAGTTCATCAGTCTACTTCCAAACACTAATTACTAAAAACTAATTATATGTATATTTCTATAACACAGTTTTATACCTGTATAATATTTAAACTCACATCTGTTTTCAAGATTGTGGATATATATTATAGATGTATAAATGTTTAAATAAATTATTATATACGTGGTGATCGATTATAATCATTATCAATTATAGGCATTATCCCTTTAAAAAATTAAGTTTGAAATCTATATTTAATCTTTATTTTTTTATCGAAATCTATTATATAAAATTCATTTATTTAAGTATTTATATCTCATTTGAAGAATTGAAAGTCTAGTTTTATGTATATATATATATATATATATATATATATATATTTTTGTATGTGTAATTTTTTGTTGCATAATAAAAATAAATGGCCAATTTGTCGATAATAATAAATTCTATTTAATAAGTGTTCTATATGTATATTCTTTTACATATAATAAACAATTCCTTATATAAAAAATTGAAGATTATTAAGATACAATGACATATATTGATATCTATTGAAGAAAAAACTCTATCAAACACTATATAAAAATTTATATCCGATAAAAAATTTTTCATGCATGCATATGTATAAATATTACTTATAGCGAATTGGACGCTCTCAATGCGCACTGGTGCACATTAAAGCATACACAAAATAAGATATGTTTATATATAAACATAGAAATTAAATCATGAAATACTCAATACATTTTATTGTATTATTAGGTAAAATATGTATATTATAATTCGAAATATTTGCATTTCACTTTTATATTCAAATTAAATTATACAACGGCTTTAATATGCATCAGTGCGCACTAGTTCTTCCAATCGAATTCACATTAGATATGATTGAGTAGTCCATTCTTTATGGCTGCATTCAGCAGAACACGATTTTGCAATCGTTTTATGATTGTCTCCTGTGTGATAGGACCATTCTTCTAGATCTAAAAATATAATCCAATCAGCACGAAAAAAAACTTCCAACAGTTGCAAATTAAACCTTCCAACATAGCCAATGTCTTTAGATTAGACTGAGGCATGATGTAAGAAGACAAAGTGACCGCATTTATAGGCCGGTATTCATAGTCGTTCTTGTATTCAAGCTATCTTAGGCCGGATTCACACCTTGACGGAAAAGCGAAAAGCGGAAAGCGGAAGCCAATCGAAACTCGCAGTAGTAGTAGGCGGTACATTTCGCTTGTCTGTTTCTGTCTTTCCGCAAGTTCTGATTGGCTTGATGAACTCGACCTTAAGTTCAATCTTGACATGTCGTGAACCAATCAGACAGCCGCATTAGTGTCTTAAGATATTACTTAACTTGAAATAAGAACTATGAGTACGACTATGAGTACTAGTCATAATCAGGCTTTATATTTAAGGATTTCTTAAATTTATCTTCAGATGCTCTACGAATTATTTCATTAGCTGAGCATCTAAAAATAAATTTAAGGAAGCTTTAAGTACAAAATTTGATTATGAATACGGGCAAAGGTGTATCATTCCCGAAGATACGCAGTAAGAGAATGAATTGTAGCCAAAATTTGATTGACTTTGATATTTGATATTTGATTGAATTTGATATTTCAATATGCTAGTGCTATTATACGCAGGAAAGTGCATAAAGGCCAAAATTTGAGTGGTTATTTCCAATATTGCTATCGTCATTATGCGCAATAGTACATACAGTAACTCGCATTAATATTCGGACATTATAATAATAGAAAAACTATTATTTTTGAAATATAGTTTTTATAGGATTAAGAAATTTATGGTTTTTTCATTGGAAGTGCTTATTATAGATGTAAAAAAAACATTAATTTTCTTTATTTAACTAATGTAATTTTCAATGTTAAATAAGTTAATTCTTTAATTCTAATTTTAGAATCGCAAAAATATTAGACACTCAATATATTTTATATTTATTAACCCTCGGAAATCAAATTAGCTTATTCCTTACTTATTGTTTACGTGAAGTAAGTTAATACAAAATATATAACTTATTTCATATTGAATTAATTTCCCCAAGATCACACACAAGTTAATAATGAAAGTGATAAAGGCGTAAAGGCAAAAAATTCATTTGATAAACACCAATTTGTTATTTTTCATTATAAAAAAGATAAATCATATTGAGAAATCGGTAAATTAATAAATTTGAATAAGAGTACGATAGCAGATATTGTAAAAAGATATGTTCGCATTAAATCAATACCTCAGAAAGGAGGATGTCTGAAATTACTTGACTCACGGGATAAACATAAAATTATTAGGAAAGTAAATCCTGGATTAAGTGCTACAAAATTGACCTCAGAATTATACGAAGAGACTAGCAAGAAGGTACATTCTGATACAGTTCGTCGAGCATTAAAAGAAAGTGATTACAACGATAGAATTGCTCGTAAAAAACCATTCATAAATGAAGCGAATCCGAAGAAAAGATTAATTTTCGTCAAGGAATTTATTTTTAAAGAACAAATATGATGCAATATTCGCTAATAAGAGCAAATTTAACATTTTTAGATCTGACGGACGGAAAATGATATGATGAAAAGCAAACGAAGAATTCAAACTGAAAAATTTGAAACCAACTAGAGCGGTAGAAGTTTAATGGTGGTTTGGGGTTGTATTTCAACTAAAGGAATGAATTAGTTTTCATTGACGGAATTTTGAATAAAAATAAATATTTAAATATTCGAAAAGATAATTTAATAAAAAGTGCTAATATGAATGTACGAGATAATTTCAAATTTTATCAAGATAATGACCCAAAACATAAATCGCGAATAGTACAAGAATATTTATTATACAATTGTCCAAAAGTATTACATCCTCCATCACAATCACCAGATTTAAATCCCACAGAAAATTTATGGAATTTATTAGATCGTAACATTCAGATTATGCCTACAAGATCAAAGGAGAACTAAAAATTACAATTAAAAGAAGAATGGACGCGCATTACGCCAGATTATTTAATAAAAATTATTTCTAACATACATACCCAAACGTTTGCATGTTATTAAACAAAAAGATTATCCAACAAAATATTAAAATTATTATCATTTCATTTATATATATTTATATTATTATATCTTGTTAAATGTCCGAATATTTTTACAGAATTAAGCAAAATTCTGTCTACAGTTTAATATATTCTAAACTGTATCATATAAATGTAATTTATAGAAATAAAATTTATATTTCTAATAACTATAATGAATTTTTCAATTTAAAACAAAAACGTAAATTTCTTATTCCAACAAAAATTATGTTTAGAAGGTAATAATTTTCAAAAAGTATTATGATGTTCGAATATTAATGCGAGTGATTGTACATATATCTAAAGGTATCATTACATGTAAACGTCGAGCGTCGAGCGTCGAGCATTTGCGCAGAAAATTATTGCTGATTACTGTGCAGAAGTTTGAATCTCCAGACTTCTGCGTAATAATCTTTTGCAGCTTCTTGATGCAAAATGATAAATTATGAAAGATTTGATATACATGTTTTGATATACATTACTATCATAACATATAATGCTTAATTTATATATTTATATTTATTTAT